AATAAATTTCTAATTGAAATAATTAGATATAAATATAAAAAAATATTTATGGTGAATTTATATAATATTCCCTATTAATAAATTTCCACGTGAGTATAAAATATAATGAAAATTTTTAAAAGTTTCAGGCATTATAGAGCAAATAAAGAGTGCCCCAAAAGATGCCCCAATGATGTGAAAATAAAAAAAAAATTTAATTCAAAGTTCTTCAGCCACGGTTTTGTCGATGTTAAGAATGAAAAAAACTGATCCCAGGATTGTCCCGGGTTGGCAAATGTAAAAAAATCCCAAAAGAAATTCAAAGTTCTTCAGCCATGGTTTTGGCGATCTTGAGTAAGAAAGAAGAAATTTTTTAATGTTTGTAAACAAATAAAATTATTATTAAAATAAAAAAGCGATTACATAAATTAACTGCATAATATTTGAGAGATAGGTTCTTTAAAAATTATATAACATTTTTGTTTTTTAACGAATTTACTTGAAATTTTCCAAAAAACTTCCTTAAATAGTGAGGAACAACTTTCTCACTGAAACTTTGCTGAACTCAAAACTTCCCTGCATACTTTTTCTCGTTGAAGGTAACAAAGCTTCATCGATGACACGTCATCATTTATAATAAAAAAAATTATAAACAATGAATGATTTTCAAAATTTTTAAGACTTTGTCAGTTTCAGGAGACTCAAATGAGTATACATAACAAATTCCAATCAAATTCATTTATATTTTAACTAAATAATGTGATTTATGTTTTAAAATTGTATTAAATTTCAGAATAAAAATTTTTCAGTTTTTAATTTTTATTGTGAAAAATATTCGTTCTATAAAAAAAAGACAATAAGAAAAAAGTTGTGCTTTTTGCTTCCTCATGAGGAAGCTTTGCATTGGTGACGATTTTCAATTTTTCAAAACAAGGTTATATGGACTCATTTTCATCTAGAACATATGTATATTATTCAATTATGAGCAAATGTCCAGATGTATGTGTGTGTATGTGTGTGTGTGTGTGTGTGTGTGTGTGTGTCACAAAAATTGTGTACAAATTATCTCAGACAAATTTTGATGGATTGTCCTGAAATTTTGCAGGTTTATTGCAGTCATTAATACCTGAAATTTGACACAAGGATTTTCAAAAATATCTACAAAATTTTTTTTTATACAATTTTTTTAAAATTCAGAAAATTTTTTTTTGTATTTTCTGAAATAATTTTTTTATTTGTTAATATTTTTATTAATTATTCTCAAAATTACATTCCTGGCAAGAAAACGAATCGATTGATGTATACAAAGTATATATTTTATCAAAATTTATAAAATTAATAAATATTTTTCTTTTCCACAAAAAATTCAAATTTTGTATTTTTTTCATAATTAATTTAATATTAATATTAATATTTTGAAATGATTATTCTATCATAAAATAGAAGCAATTGGCAAATGAAAGTGTAAATTTCACCAAATATTTATACAACAACTTATAAATGATTTATATAATTTTATTTTTAACCAATCTTCTGGACGAACCCTTTTGTACATAATTTTTCAAAAGTTTGCAAAACCGCAATTTTTATATATTGAGGAAGCTAAATGGTCATAAAATGAACAACTTGTTTCGTGACTGACTGTTTGCTTTTGAATTAGTAAATTTTACTATTAAATTAGTAGAAACGACTATTTATTAGTAAAATTTGCTAATTCAAAAGCAAAAAGTTAATCACTAATTAAAATTAGAAAACATTTTTACTAATTCAAATTTAAAGTTTAATATTCAATTATTATCTAAAATTTTAACTGAAATTCATATTTGAATCAATTATTATTAGAAAATTCTACGAGAATTCAATTATTTAAATACAAAAATCAATAATTTATTGAAGAATTGAATGTTGTTTAAAACTGAACTCTCATTTAAAGAATTTTACCAACAAAATTTTTAAATAGGTAATTAAAATTCTTTTGACGAATTTCAATAAAATTTTTAAGAATAATTTGATTTGTCGAAAAATTAGATTAAAATTGTATGAAAAATAATTGAATCTCTGTAAAAAATTTTATTAAATTAAGAAAAGTTTTTGAATTTTATTAAAGTTTTTGAAAATAATTTTTGAGAAAAATTTTATTATTTATAAAGATAATTGAAATGTTTATGATAATTTTCTTAAACTTTTGACCATAATTGAATTTCTACGAAGAATTTCATTACTTTTGAAAATAATTGAATTCTTAAGGCGAATTTTTATTGAAATAGTAGATATTGAAAATAATTGAATTTTGATAAATTATTGAAATTAATTAAATTTCTACGAAAAATTTTATTAAAATTATTTTGAAAAAAATTGAATTGTTAAAAAGACATTAAAATTTTTGAAAATATTTTAAGTTTTTCAAAAAATTTAATTAAAAATGTATTGACAATAATACTAAAATTCTAATAAATAAATTATAGAAAGGCTTTTTGAAATAATTGAATTTTAATAAAATTTTTAATAATAATTTCATTTTCTTGAGGAATTTGATTAAAATTGTATTAAAAATAATTGAAATTCTGCATTGAGTTTTATTATTTATGAAAATAATTAAAAACCTATAAAATTTTTTACTATTTATGAAAATAATTGAATAAAACTTATAAAGTTTTTTATTATTTGTGAAAATAATTGAATCTCTTTAAAAAATTTGATTTATTTATGAAAATAATTGAATGTTTGCGTAGAATTTTATTCAAATTTTTTTTAGTAATGGAATTCTTTTGGAAAAATTGAATTATTTTGAAATATTTAAGAAAAATTAGATTTCAAGAATAAGCACAATAATTTTAGAAAACAATAATTTTTCAGGATTCCGATCAAAATTCCCTGACTTTTCCAGGTTTTTTCAAGTTTTTTAAAATTCCCTCACATTTCCAGTTTTTACAGGTTGCGTGGCAATCCTGAATTTATAAATTAACTTCAATATTAACCTATAAAATTTGTTTGTAATTAAAAATAGTGAAAAATTCTTTGCAAAATTCTCTTAATGACAACTTCTTAACAATATTCCATGTTTATTTATTCTTTAATTTCTTGAATTTATATTTTATGAGGTGTATTCCACGTCAGTTCAACACAAAAAATTTTATTAGGTTTTGGGATTTGGTTGAAATTGGGTAGATTATATCCTCTGGTGGTAGTAAATAAAATCCCCAAGCGATTTTAAAAAATTTCAAAAATTGGCGGACATATTGGATTTTTAATTTTTTTGTACCTTTTTTTTGAAAAATATATATCTCTGCTTCTTCTTAAAGGATTTTAGTTTATGACCTCTTAAATTGTTCGTATTGAAATATACTTTTATTTAAAAAATTAAAATTAAAAAAATTATTTAAATTTTTTGTTTAAAAAATTAATTTAATTTTTTGAAAAGCCATAGAAAAAATATGCTACCTTCAATTTTGATCATTTTTTTACCATTTGTAGCCATAAATGTGTTGAACTTGTCCTGAAATTTTCATCGTGGGACAGCCAGTAGTTTTTGAGAAAAAAAATAAAACGTAAATCCTCGCATAGCGCTGTAGCGCTCAGTTTTAATGCCGCACGATTGTAAATGGAATTTTAATGAAAGTACGAGTTTTTATTAACCCTAGAACTAAAATATGATTTTTTTTATGGACTAACGAAAAACTGGGGTGGTTTGGTACCCCAGATTTGAAACAATTGTAAAAGGTTACCTTTTTTGTAATTTTTTTAATTTGTCAACAATGTGGCTAATTTGAAAAAATTAAACGGATTTTGAAAGGTAAATAGAGACAATTTTATTTTGTTTAAGGCAACTTGAAAATTTAAATATTATTTAGGTACAATATATACAAATGTTAAATGATTTTAAAATAGAATAAAAATTATTTATTACAAAGGAGGTTTCTATTTTTTACGGGGGAGTTTCCGAGGTCTTACAGTTTATCTTTATTTACCTTTTAAAATCCGTTTAATTTTTTCAAATTAGCCACATTGTTGACAAATTAAAAAAATTACAAAAAAGGTAACCTTTTACAATTGTTTCAAATCTGGGGTACCAAACCACCCCAGTTTTTCGTTAGTCCATAAAAAAATCATATTTTAGTTCTAGGGTTAATAAAAACTCGTACTTTCATTAAAATTCCATTTACAATCGTGCGGCATTAAAACTGAGCGCTACAGCGCTATGCGAGGATTTACGTTTTATTTTTTTTCTCAAAAACTACTGGCTGTCCCACGATGAAAATTTCAGGACAAGTTCAACACATTTATGGCTACAAATGGTAAAAAAATGATCAAAATTGAAGGTAGCATATTTTTTCTATGGCTTTTCAAAAAATTAAATTAATTTTTTAAACAAAAAATTTAAATAATTTTTTTAATTTTAATTTTTTAAATAAAAGTATATTTCAATACGAACAATTTAAGAGGTCATAAACTAAAATCCGTTAAGAAGAAGCAGAGATATATATTTTTCAAAAAAAAGGTACAAAAAAATTAAAAATCCAATATGTCCGCCAATTTTTGAAATTTTTTAAAATCGCTTAGGGATTTTATTTACTACCACCAGAGGATATAATCTACCCAATTTCAACCGAATCCCAAAACCTAATAAAATTTTTTGTGTTGAACTGACGTGGAATACACCATGAGTATTTGTAATTTGTACCTCCTACCTCATTTCAAAACATAAAACGTCAGCGGAAAAGAAAAATAAAATAATACGTATAAAACATTTAATAAATTTTTTAGTTTACTATAAACATTTTTTAAAATTAATTGTAAAATTAAAATAATATAATATTATCTATCACGACATATCAAAAAAACAAAACTCTACTTCAAACTGATGACAGACAGAAAAAATGAAAGAATTATTATAATTAATAATTGAAAGTTTTCTTTCTTATTCAACTTTTTAAATTAACTCTGTTGAATAAAGTCAAAACTTTTTTTAAAGATTGGAAAAGGATTGAATATTATTAAGGATTGAAATATATTTATATAGATTTTTGATGAAATAGAAATCATTTATTATCCTTAAATATCTAGATGACTAGAAATTTCCTTAAATCTAGATTTAGATATACATAGGACTTGCTTCGATTCACTCCTTTGAATTCGAAGACTTAATTTCATATATAATTATGTTACTCTTTGGAGGCGCTGCATCGTTGTTCCTCTAAGAATCAACAGTTTCAGGCTTTTGGTAAACATCGTGGCATAATTCGTCTAAAAAATTTTTTTTTTTAAAATATATGTTCAAAATACAATCTTCTTTTTATTTCTTAAACGTTTCTCATTTACTAGCCTTCTAGTGAGAAAAAAAAATCAATGAATCAATATAACTAAAATAATTAAAACAATTTAATTTAATTATTCCCTGAAAACAGAAAAAGTAATATATTTCTGTTATCATAATTTGTACATGTATAAATCTAAAATATAAAAGTGACATTAAAAAGCAGTCTTAACATAAAATATTAAACTTGTCAATTTCTTTTTCATTTTATGAAAATGGTGAGAAACGTTTGACGACTTCAGTGCCACGATGATACACCCAAACCTCCATTAATCACGGCGAAATTATTTACAAAATAGTACAGTAATTCAACATTAGTACCACTACCCGAAGCTTTAAAGTTGTAAATAATCAAACTAATAAAAACGTTATAACAATATTTTAAAATGAGAAAATAAATATACAAGACGTTTTTTATAGTGTAAACATGATTCACGAATTTTTCGAGAAAAATCTGTTGACACAAATCTCTGGTTGAATAACCTTCTTATATTTCAGTTCAATGATGACGTCTTATTTTCCGAATTTTGTTGTTTATTGCAATTAGAGTTTTCCAAATTGTTTGAAGATTTTTTGCCTACTTCGCAGAGCTTTCGAGATTTCCAGTAATCTGTAATCAGAAAAAAAATCATTTTTTAATTTCTTTATTAATTTTATTAAAAAGATAATATAAAATATTCAAAACTACATCACATTTTAAGTAAGGCTTCAAACAATTAAACCAAAATTCTCTAAAGATGATGTTCAACTGACTTCTATATTGATTTGAAGTAACACCAAAACAGATTATTTTAATCTTTTATGGTGTTAAGTTAATCTGCAACGCTTTTTTATACCTCACGATTTACTTGCTACTTTGTTACTGTAACTTCTTCAAAAATTATTTTCATCATTACGATTATTCATTTATAGAATTTTCAACTAAAATTCTTCAATTTTTTAAAAATAATTTTTAAAAAAGTTCTTTGCGAATTTTCAAATTCTTTTGTTTATACAATTTAATTTTACGAAATTTCGATTATTCTGACATTTTCCAATTAAATATATTAGGGAGCGTACACAAATGATGTCAAGCAATTTTTGGAGATTTTCGGACCCCCCTCCCCCCTGTCACGCAATTTTTGCAATTTCACATGAGAAAAATACATTGTGTCATACGTTTAGTAAGACCCCCCCTACCCCAAAAGCGTGACATCATTTGTGAACGCTCCCTTAGAAATTAAAAACTTTCAAATAATTAAAAAAAAATTCCATTAAACTTATTGAGAAAAATTAATTCTTTAGAATTCTTAATTAAAAGTATGAAAAGTTCAAATTTTCAAAGATTTTAATTTGAAATTCATTTTTAAATCAATATTTATTAGAAAATTCTAGGATAATTCAATTATTTAACTATAAAAATAAATATTTTATTAAACAATTGAATGTTTCTTATAATAGAATTTTCATAAAGAATTTTATTAACAAATTTTTAAATAATTGAATTCTCTTGACAAATTTTAATAAAATTTTTAAGAATAATTGCGTTTTTCGAGAAATTTGATGAAAATTGTATTAAAAATAAAATTCAAATTCTGCAAAGAATTTTATTAAAAGTTTTGAAAATAATTAAATTTCTGAGAAAAATTTGGTTATTTATAAAGATAATTGAAATTTTGACAAGAATTTTTGCAAATTTTTAAACTTAATTGGATTTTTGCGAAGAATTTTATTAAAATTATTTTTAAAAAAAATTGAATTGTTACGCAAAGAATTTCATTAAAATATTTTTGAAAATAATTTTATTCTTTAAAGAAATTTAATTAAAAATGTATTGAAAATAATACTTAAATTCTAATAAATAAATTGTAGCAAATTATTAAAATAATTTAATTTCTTTGGTAAATTTTAATAAAATTTTTAAGAATAATAACTTTTTGTCGAGGAATTCCATTAAAATTGTATTAAAAATAATTGAAATTCAGCATTGAGTTTTATTATTTTTAAAAATAATTGAATAATATATGAAAATACTTTGTAAATAATTGAATTCCTGTGAAATTTTCATTTCTTATAAAAATAATTAAATGTTTGCGTAGAATTTTGTTAAAATTTTTTTTAACTAATTGAATTCTTTTAGGAATTTTTATTAAAGTTGTAGATATTAAAAATAATTGAATTCAGGAAAGTTTTTGAAAATAATAAAAATTTTGAAAAGAATTTTATGAAAATTTTTGAAAATAATTGAATTTCTGAGAAGAATATTTTACTATACTTTTGAAAATAATTGAATTTCTGCAATGATTTGTAATTGCTTCAAAATTCAATTTGTTTTAGTATTTTTAACTAAAATTCTTCTATAAAACCATTATTTGTAATAATCAATTAAATATATATATATATATATATATATATATATATATATATATATATATATTAAAAAATTTAACTAATTTCAGAAGAATTTTAGTTTTAGTTTTTTTAAATCTAAGTTTTTTTTATATTTCTAATAAAATTGATTTAAAATTGAAATTTTACAAAATTTTAAATCAAAATATTTTGAAGTTCATCTACTTATGAAAATTGTAAACGCAATTCTTTTAAAATTGAATTAATTTTGAAATTAGGTTTCAAGAATAAACACAATAAATTTGGAAAACAACAATTTTCCAGGATTTCGATCAAAATTCCCTGACTTTTTCAGGTTGCGTAGCAACCCTGTATTTGCTTACGACATATATAGATTAATTTTTTTAAATCATAACTGTTTTCTTTAAAAAAACAATGTCTTTCCGTACATGTTTCAAACATTTGAGTCAATGAAGTTTGTGTGGATAATAGGTCATCTTTTTGCGTTGTAGGTAACCTGACAAAAGTACATGAAATCTCCACAACAAAGGGTCGTTCCAGAGAACTACGTCGTCTTTGAGATGTAGTAGGGTCCCACCCCTATTTTTGGTCAGGTAGCACCTGAAGACCTTCCCTTCTTCTACTTGCTTTGGTTTCCCCTCTGCTCTTTTTCCCCACTCTCCCCCTTGTCCCCCTACTTGCCTTTTATTTTCACAACACGTGGCAGGTGCGGTTCAGCATTGCCAAAGGCAATTTTGCAGATTTCGCGTTCTCCAATCGCCAGAAACCTTCAAAACCGGTCCGCGTGTGCAGCTCGCAGTTAAAAAGGGTTAAAAAACAAATTAACAACCGCAATGAGATGAAATTAAACCAATTAAAAAATTTTTCGTTTATTCCGTTTCTGTTCATACTGAATTTATATCGACAAATAAAAAAACTGAAGAACTTATAAGTATTACTATTAATAAATAATCTCAACTTTATGCTATATTCCGGAAGTCAATAGATTTTCTTTTCGAAATTATTTTTTTTAGTGTAAAAATTTCAGAGAAAGCATTGCAAATTCTCGAGACTGGTTTACAATGTAGATAACCGGGTTTGAGATTGACCAACACCATATGTTGGATTGAAAAGAAACAAAAATTTTATTTTGTCCTCGCGAGTTTTTAACGGTCAACGCCATATGGTGCACGCGAAACACTAGGTTTCGTTAAAGTTTCCGAAGTAAATCCGTCGAGATTCCTCAACATCTGTTTTCTTGATCCTTTTAGAGAGTATCAACTATATATATATTTAAAAAATCCTCTTTCATAATTACAAATTTTTTGAAAACCTATTTTATCCTAGAATTTATAACAAACATTTATAACATTTCTCAAAAGTAATTGAAATTTAAATCAAATTTTCATTTTTATAGTGTTCACAATTTTTCAAGAATGAATTCATTTTTTTATCCGTAAAAAAATCCAGATGCGAGTGTGGGACAAAGAGACCAAGTTGGAAAGTGTCTACCTGTGCGCGTGTGTGGATGAAAATCCTATGTGAGGATTGAACACAATATAAAGGAAGGCACCAAAGCTTTTCTTCGTTGAGTTTCTTTGTCCAAAGAGTCGCGGCTTATTCACCATTAAACTACTACTACTTTACTGCCATCTTTTACTTTTTTTTTATTATATAGAAAGCGTACATGATTTTTGTCTGGAAAGTCTTCCCAACGGACTTTTACCACCACCAGCAAGAAGATACTCTCATATACATTGAAAAAAATTTCCCTTACGTCTTGTGTCTCCAAGACAACAATGATCGTCTTCTTTATGAAACGATAGTGTGAATTCATGTCGTCAGAATTTCCTTTATTCACCCGCGATTTACACACTCTTTAGTCGCACGGTATTAGGGGATCAAGATAAAGAAGTATCAAAATTCGATAAAATTTACTTTTTTGAAAATGTAAACTACGGAGAAAGAAACTTCCCGAAGTCACATATTATAGAAATGAAGTCGACTAAACACTGAGACGGTAAATATTTTTATCGACCCGAACTAAAAACTAATTACCACACAACAAAATACTCAGCAAACAAAGTTGCTTTTCTTGTTAAATATTTAAATTGTGCTTTTTGAAGAGCTCAAAACTAATGATTTTCCAAACAAGTGTTGCATAAAGTATCGTGTGCATCATCTCTTTTAATTGCTTGTTGAGAAACTACATTTTTTTTGTATTTGGTATTCACAATATGTACTATTTCATTCTTAGAATTCGCATAATGTTGGTATGAGAGAAGTCTTAACATTTTTACGACTTTTGACCCATAGGAAGAATGCACTTGAAGAAAGCGTAATGATGTTTCAGTGCGCAGACTTTTAGCAGAATGATCTGCGTGAAACGATCATCGAACATTTTCAACACGCGAGAGGCGTATTACCATCAAATGCTTGACCATAATCGGAAGAAGATATTGTTTAGAGATACCCTGAGGAGGAATCATTATAAAACCCTTTTTTGCCCCCATAAGTCCAACCACATTAAAAACACGATAAAAATGCTTTCAACAAAACATTGACGGGTGTATCTTTTTTCGAACTACTTTTTTGGTATGCTTGAGTCTTCCCAGACATTGCAAGAACATTATATTGAACATAAAATAACTCCATTTTTATTGCTCTATTTCAACAAAATTTTATACTTTTGAGCGATGAGAATAACAATTCAGTAACTGACAAAAAACTAAAATAATACTTTCTTCTTCATTTCATTTGTAGTTAAAGGTTTTAAAAGAAGTAAATTAGAATACTTTAGTAATATTCTAAGTTTGACTGACTTCTCCATAAAATAAATCTGACTATTAAACCGGTTATGGTCGAAAATCGACGAAACTGTTTGGTTATCAAAAATGAATTTGCCGTCACTATTCAATTTATTCTCTCCGTGTTGTATTTGAGAAAAGTTGATTTATAATTTTTAAATATTTTATTATTCATTTAAATAATTAAATAAAATCAGGGTTGCCACGATTTTGCTCATTTCAAATTCCCTGACTTTTCCAAGTTAAAAAACAGAATTTTTCCAGGTTTTTAAAACTACATTTGCCAACAAAAATTTAATATTGTTTTTCCCTGACTTTCCCTTAAATTCCAGACAAAATTCTTATTTCTCCTTGACTCTAAAAAATATTCTCATTCAGTTTAAAAATTATTACTCAGAAAAATGTTCTATAGCTTCTTTTTTTAATAAATATTTAATTATTATTTTTCGATAGGAATTAAAATTCTTCACAAGAT